GTCTGGGTACAGCAAACATAAATCTCAGATATTTGGTTTGAATGACCTGTGGAGCATTCTTCCCAACATAAAGACCCATCTGGCCTCTGTACAGTACAATTTAGACTTAGAATGGGTTTAGCTTAGAACAGATATAAGGCAGATGGTACTAGTTTGCCTTTTAGTAAAAAGATACCATTTAATGGCTGTTGCAGTTTTGATTAGTTTTGATTAATTTTTGGCATATTTTGATACTTTGACCCTGAGTTTGGATTTTTGAAAATACCAACCTATTCCATCTACAATATTGGTCTATAGAGCTCACTGTATTTCTAAGCCCTATAGGAGAGTAGGAAATAAGGGCTGCATTTTCTGCACATACCAGCCCCAAAGTCTTACAACTTGCTAATTTGGCAATGTGCCACAGAAAGAAAGGCAGGTGCCATCTTAGGTATAGCATTTTCTAGAGCTGATCATGTCAACATGTTTTGAAGATTTTATTATTTGGGAAGATTTTATATAAATCTGATATTTAACCCTGATAAACTATTGAAACATGTATTAGCTACCCCTGCTCTGGTTAATGAACTACATTATACAGAGAATAAGATGCTGAGATAGCTATTAGATATCTGCAGTTGTTTTGTCTTGTCTTGTGAACTAGGTCATAAGATCACATAGCCCATGAAGAATCTGAGGAGGAATTGTTATACTCAAGTAATTTCATATTCATATCTTGGTTTTGGAACATTCATGGAACATTCAAGGCACATCATCTGCATTATCTGATAAGCCTTTCAATATTCTTGTATTGTAAGCCTACAGTTCCATTTTCCTATTAAAAATGAGACCACAGACTGAAGGAAGGTAAGCTAGTATAAGGCAACATAAGGTCAAAATAGATAACATAATGGAGGAGGAAAAAATGAGCTGAGAAATTATTTTTATCAGAAGAATGTTTTTTTAAGGAAATGTTTCAGTTAATTTAAGTTAATATAATTGAGACCCCTGACAAAGACATGATTCAGACTTATTGTTTATATCTTCTAGTAAAACACCAAGCCTCAATTAATGTTACCAGTAATAAGTGATGCAAGTCACAGTTTTTTATGTGGGAAAATCACACCATATTGAATGTTTAAATTACATTAATTCATTATGTATATGGTCAAATCAAGCAATATTTTTAATTTGTGAAAAAGTGTCTATGCCTTCCTTTTGTAGTTAAAGTACAGGGTGAATTTTACTGAAATCCCAGCACATGGGGAAATTTGATCCTTTCCTTCCTTTTACAATCTTAGCAAAACTATCCCTCCTGTGTGGCAATTAAGCTTAGGAAACTGCAAGGGAGGGGTGTCCTATGGTTAATTGTCACTTAGGCAGAGGGGGATTTTCATCAAGACTGCAGGCAGAAAGGGAGAGGTCAGGTCTCCCCATGTGCTTCTAGTCTTACTAAAAATCATGTTTCCCCATGCTTGGTTTTGTTCTCTTTTTTAAACGGATGGTTGCTAACTGAAGCATAAAAGTGTTTGGCTCTAGACTTCACTTCAGCTTGTGAGGAATAAAACTCCTGTTCAAACAGATTCCACGATTTTGCAACATAAAATAAGCAAATATTGAGCAGAAAAATTGAGTGTTGCTAAACAAACACCACCTTGACTATACTGATGGAGCCTTCTTCATAACAAAAACATTTTTCCTATGATTGTATATTAGGTAATCACAGACATCTGCTGTGAATAGATGGCTTTCTTTGTTATACTGTGAAAGAATGGAAATGCGTTTATAAAGTTACATGATGAGGTTGTTTTATACCATTTTCATATGGGTTAGTTCTTCTTTTGTAACAGGTTTTGCTATCTTTGTCTCTGTATACATCTAGAACAAAGGTTGGTCACCTCATATTAAACATATCCATAACTGCATGGAGGAAAGTGATTCAGAGTACAGAGAGGAAATTTAAATTATGTTGCTCAGAATTTTGCTTTTAAGCATCTTAAACAAGAACACTGGGTTCATGCAGATAGCTTTTCCAACTGTATTTAAGTATTGTTATAGACTGGACCAGTTTTTGTCAATCTGGTATCCTACAGATATCTTGCCTGGTTGCAGATGATTTGGAGTCAAATCAAATTTGGGGGCACTCAATTAAATAGTTTTCCAAATTGTAATACTAGCATGTCTTCCCAGCGACAGCTCTTCCAGCTCAGATGTACATAGAACAATAGAAAATATATATTTTTAAACAGTGGTTTTTCTGGGCCTGTTGTCCTATTCTCTGTGTCTCTTCAGTTCACTAGGTGCTAATATGTCAGCCCTCCCAGGTAAACCAGACACGACTGTATGAACTCATTCTACTTTATTGTAAGGCTACATTAACAGAATCTTTAAAGTCTGAAGGCACAAACTTTCTGAGTCTACTTTTAACTGCTTGATCCATTAGGGTGGGAATCCTCTCTCTCTGATTGTTTCCTAGGCAGCATCTCTTCCCCTTGTTCTCACACATTCCATTCCAACACTTGGGTCCTTTTTGGCTTTTTGCATAGCAGACTGCTCCACAAAGTGCATCCCACCATTGTGGGAACTCTAGGGTGGTTCTAGAGTTCTTGGGGAGAACAAGTGCTGGAAAGGCTGCTTGGGATTCTGTACCTCTGATCTAATACAATCATCTCTGTGGGTTTATTATTGCAGCTTCTCTGACATCTCATAGAATTAGAATTACATAGTGCTCGTGCACATCCAAAGTTCTCAGTAATGCTGCAATCTTCGGTATTTTTTCTTGGGTGCAATTCTATGCCAACCATCTGGATACATGTATAAAAATGCATCATTGTTTATGCTCAAAGAGCATTTCTGAATTTAAATATGTTTATCAACTGAATATTTAAATAATTTCAGAAATAGTGTCACTTCCATGGGATGTTTTTTAAGTTGTAATCCAATGTCTGTCAGGCTACAAATGTTTTGACATACAAACTTGTCTAGGAATGAGCAGACTGTTTTTTTTACTAACAAGGTGCCAATGGCAAGAACACTTTAGATATAATTCCAATAATCAATCATGGTACCAAGAACAACTAATGGTCATAATCTGCATTTACCTATTGAGCTAGGGTAGTGAGAGCTATAGTTTAGCATATATTTAGGAGTCCCCAATCAAACTCCTGCCCATCTCAAATACATCTGTTCTTTAGATCGGGCTGAGATAACAGAGACAACTATCACTAGAAGTAACATATAGATTGTATTCACAACATTGTCCTTGGCAGAGATGATAATTTAAGGGCTAAATACAGTTTTAGGAAACCCCGAATGTATTTTGCTGAAAACAACATATTTCTATGGAAATAGGGTATCTGGTATATCTTTTAGAAAGCAAACAAGGAAAAATATCTTCAAAATAAAAGAGGCAAGATGTTTCTGTAACTTAATTAACCAATAGGTAATTTGACTCTTAATTGTCATATTGAAAAGATAAGTTGCTCCAGCCCAGAATTCATTTTTATTAAAATTCCAATTGATACTAATTTAGATAAATATAAGCTACTTTTAATATGATGCACAGATTGAAGATTTCAGATTTCCATCAATTCAAGAAGAAAAAAATCTATACACACAAACTGTCCAATCAGAATTAAGAAGCCTGGCAATGTTATTTTGAGATTTATATCTGGGGGCAAATCACTAAAATGCAGTGGTTAATTAAAAAATGGGAGCATTGCAATGTTTCATTTCAATGAAATGTCCATAACAAAGAGTCTGTATTCTAAATCTATTCTGACTATCTTGTCTGTCTGTCTGTCTGTCTGTTTATCTATCTATCTATCTATCTATCTATCTATCTATCTATCTATCTATCTATCTATCTATCTATCTATCTATCTATCAAAGAGTTTTTTCTAAATCCTATTTGCAAATAGAAAAACACACAATGGAAAAGTTGAAGAAATGTGTAAAAATTTAACAACCTGAAAAATTTATTAATATACTACCGAAGAAAAATACAAACTTTCCAAAAATATTTTAAATAAGTATTATTTCATAACATACAAATAAAGACATGTATGAATACATTTATAGTGTAGCCTATTACAAAGTAGCATGTACTTAAAAAATCATCAAGATGTTTGTTCTGCTGAAAACAGAAGGTTAAAAGTGTATGTCTTTGGCAGAAAGCCCTATCAAACTCATGTTTTCACAAAAACTAGTTCTTAATCCTAGCAACTAGGCAGTCACGTGTAGTATGGAAAATAAGACTCCCAAAAAGATATTCCACACTCATATAACTGTTATATAATCGAACAGTTCAAAATGTGTTTTTTTCAGAAGCCATACTTGTTGAAAAAAATACAGCCCTTCACACAGGAAAAAAGCCCATCCCAGCACAAAAGATTTATGGGAGCAAAGAAGTTTCCTTTATGCTGGAAGTTTCTGATATGGCAGAGGTTCAAATATTTGATTTCCCCATCTATATCTGAAATAGTATAATCCCAAGCCAATTGAACTGAACGACTTTACATCAGTCCTGAGTGCACCAATTGCTCTGGAATTTGTTTCCATGAACATTTTATAAAAGTGCACAGTAATTTTGTCAGTAATTATTGAACAATGTCAGTAAAGCAGTTTTTAATCTAAGACCTGTGATTTACCAGACTGAACTCAGACAATGTTTATGAGGAACTGGGATTCAATAAATTCCATCATTTAAATTTGATGGCTGGCTGAGGACTGGCAAACAGGTCTTTATTAGATTGTCAAACAACTGGTACTGTAGGTATACTGTAGCATTTATTACAAGCTTCATATCAGTTATAATTCAGGATTATTACACTGATAAAGGGACTTCATAAAATCTCCTTCTCTATTTCTTTTACACCTTAGTGCCATAAACAATGGCTCAAAAACTAAAGAAAATGTGACCAGCAAGCAATGTACTATTATTATGTATTTAGTTTCAATCTCTGAAATCTTTCTAAATCACTCCTTCCAGAGAGCCCTCAATTGTCAAGCTTGTTGCATGCTTGCAATAGATAAAAACAGCAGAAAACTATACAATGTTTTTCAAACAGCAGGTTTCCAAAATCTTTTCTGCTCCTGGACCTTCTAGATGTTTGATGCACACTTTGTTTCAAAATTAGAAAAATGAAGAAGCTCTCTAGCCTGCCTTGCTAGGTCAGGGCAATCAGCCTTATACTTCAGTGCCTTCCCGGGCATAGATCAGGCTGTTGACTGTGAAGTTGTATAAATGATTGTACTGTCCTGACTGGCCTCCACTGCTAGGATGAAAATGGCTGTAGTAGGTGCCAGTTGGACCCGAGACTCGTTGCAGTTGCTCTGTCGAAGGAGGATCCTGGTTGAAACTGCTGCCTCTATTTGGGCCAGTGGGGTGGCTTCGATGCTGCAGTTCGGGAAGACGAGATCCACTGCTGAGGGAGTTCATGCTGCTGAAAAAGGTGCTGAGGCAGCTTGGGGTCGGTGGGGCAACCACAGGTGGAGAGCTGCTCTTTGTGGTGTCCCTCAGAGAGGTTGTTGGCTCCAGAACTGAGGAAGGACCGTCACTGCAGGGCTTTCCAGGGTCTAAATTGATGGGGATACCTTCCTGAGTCTTCAGAGTCCCCAAGGTCGAAACACTGGATGCCACTCCAGAGGCACTGGGATCAGAACGTCTCTTGCGCTTGCGGCGGAAATTCCCATTATCAAACATTTTCTCACAGTTTGGATCTAAGGTCCAGTAATTTCCCTTTCCTGAAGAATAAGAGAAAAGGGTTTGAAAAGAAGAATCCATGCCCAACCCAAGCGGAATCCCATACTTCCCAGCTTTAAAGTTCAGTGACCCTTTTGTACGGCTGGATCAAAATACTGCCCCACAAAAGGAGAGAAACCATAAAAAGGGAAAGAAATTTCAAACTCTAAAACTAGAAAAAGATGAGACCAATGAAGAGTAGGGCTTCATTCAGTCTATTTACTAAGCAAAATCTCTAAAATAATACTGAATCTTAAAAAAAGATGCTTTGTATAACAAGAGGGAAATGTGGCAAAATATGTAAAATGATCATTGCAACTCAATTGGCTGCAATTTTTAAAAGTGAAAAAGTAAATGTGTATCTTTTACAAATGGCTCCAGACTTGTATACCTATAGTACAATGTATAAAGCTACAGCCTCTCCTATGGGAATATCAGTTAAAACCAGAAGGAATAATTTTTAAAACAAATTTCCGCTGTGGCTACTCTAAAGATTGGCAAAGGACAGAAGGTGTGCTCTCTGAAATGAACAATAACTGGTTCATTTGCTGCTCTGCATAATGGCTCCCAGGAAATTAAAAATTATAGAAATCATTACATGGCCCATATGGCCACATTCCAAATTATTTGATATGTTACCACAGTTATGGACCTGTGGCTTCCTTATATGGGAAGATGCAGGCATTGGTGGCAATGCATAATTTGCAACTCTGTATTGCGAAGTTCAGAGCTGTGGATATTTTTGGTGAATGCAAGGGGTGGTGGTGTTTCAACCTAGAACATTGGTTAAACTCCCAAGGCATCCACACAGCCATGCAGGAGTGGATGAGTTACCATTCAAGTTATTTCATTTTGTGCAAAAATTTTCCATTGTGCTGTTGCCCATTATGCAGGTAACTGTGGGAAAGTTCAAGGTGCAGCTGGCTGGTGTATTAGAATTTGTAGCCCAGTACATATGGAACACAACCAAACTAAGGAAAAAAGAATATTGTATGTGTTCAGAAACATGAAATGTGAAGAATAGATTGCTAAAGTTTCACAAGAGAAAAGTGTCACACAACCTTGTATGTGAAATTGTCCTTTGGAAATTTCCATGTATAATCAAAATGTAAATTATTATCATTATTTACATGTACTAATTTAATCCATAGATTTATTGTGGGTTACACTCCTTGTTGATTGTCTCTGGTCTCAAATGCTAAACATGGGATAAACAGGGATATAGGTCTGACCAAGAAATTGTATGGATGTTTATGCTCACAAAAATGAAGGCTGATGTGAAGATAGCTCTGTGTGTTTTTTTTAATTCCTATATTACACATTCTAGCTCTAGTTACAAAAGAGAGTTTCAAGAAGAACAGATGAAAGAGAGGCTAGCATTTCATTTCAGGACACAATGTTACTGAGGATATGGAAATCCTATCAGTTAGGGCACACCATTCATTGAAAGTGATCTGAATATCCCTTCACCATCAAATGAATTTCTCCTAGAGATCATACCCAAATCGGTAAGAAGGAACTTCTTTTATATTAAATAATTAAGATCAAAACTTTATCATATAACAAATATTATGATGTAAGTCACAGTAGTTCTTTTCTCTACTGTTTTGGAGGAAAAAGCTAAATAATTTTATGCTTATAAATACTGATCAATTATAATGTTTCTTTTCTATTTTCAATACAATGGGTTATAAATAATAACATGCAAATTTGTAATTATATTATATAAACATTACTGTCTTGAAATAATGCAATTATCAAGTTTTTTAATAATACAATAAAAAGATGAGGTGGGCAGAAAATGTTTCATAATCTAGGCACACCTCAACATTTAGCTAGAAATTAATCCAAGTCATAGTCAGAATAATTAATCATATCTGTGTTTATATTGTTCAACAATCTTTCACATATATGTGCATATACACACTCACACTCAAACATCCTCATGCTCATTTTTGATTGGATGCTACACTAGAGTTTTCAGAATGCTTTCAGAAGTGTTTTCTTTTTTCCTGACCAAAAGATTTGATACAAATGCAGAAATTATTTAAACCTACCTGAAACATAAAACCTTTTCTGCATAACAGAATTGATATTCTCCCTAATCAATTACTTTAATACAGATTAAGCAAACCAAATTAAATAGTGCATTTGCCTTGGGATTCTGGAATTCATCTATTGTCTGGTTGTAGCATGTAATTTCTGTACTCAAATGCTGCCCTGAAGTTTCACAAGATCAAGAACAGGCAAGCCATGGTTAGTGGGCTACAGGTGACCCAAAACCTGTCTTGTTGCTGTCAAACATCCAGGGTGTTCATACACCATGTCAGTGGAAAAACAAAGAAATAAGGTGTGTTTCTGGTTTCAAGAAAACTAACCTTATATGACTTGTTCCCTGCCACTCACGCCCGTAAGAAATGGAAGGGAAACAACATTTTAAAAAAAGGTTCTGTCGTGATGTGATTACATCTTTTTCTCAACCTCCAGCCCATCTAAAATAAGAAGAAAAAGTGTAGCCCCTAGCTCTTAGTAAATCTGCCTGCCCTCTTGGCAACAGTAGCTTTGCCCTCAATATGCAAAGTGTTGAAGAAGAAGTAATCAACTGCTTAATTCTTCCCACTTTTCTTCTGGTTAACCTGAGGTTTGCTGATCCTGTGGGGAATTATTTAGAGAAGAAAAAAAATTCAATGCTACCATTAAACAACAGCATTTTTAACATTCTCACATGTGAAAGTTTACATGTTGTTTTTTTGTCATTGGTTTGTAGCTTGACAGGAAAAACTACATTGCAAAACTCCTTTGCATTATAAATGTTTCTCCTCAGCTTTCTCTCCTGTTTTAACGGTGGCCTGACATTTACAGAAGGGTCCAAGTAACTTGAGCCTGACATATAAAAGATTTTATTATCTCTACCAGTAGCCACTGGATTTTGTTGAACCGATTGTTTGTTAATTATGAGTTATTCAGCTTCATACATGGGTTTTTATGAGAAGATTAAACAACAGCATCTTTAATGAGTTTCTTACTCTTTTCCTTTTCTTGTAAA